CTAAGGGTTGATTCCTGGCATGTGTGCTTAAAAGGGTTCACTTTGACCCGAACATTAGTGCTATTTCGCATTTTAGATGCGAGCATTCTCCATGGACAACCCTCAGTCGGACAGTGCACTCTGTAACGTACTTGATCGCTCCTGTCAACTTTGAAAGTACGTTCTACCTTGATGCAGTATGTCACAAGTGCATTTCTACACTCAGTCATGGATGCAAAAACGGTACTTTCTTCCATATGAGGGTTCAAAGGGTCCCATTCAACAGCTGCAAGGTCTTCGTCCTCACCCACCATGTCATCATCCACACGGACTGCATTGTGAGCCTCATCTTGGTTTTCAGCCCGAGGTGCCCGTCGTAAATTCTGAACAACATCATAATATAGCTTCTCTTCATCAACCCCAGAATTGTAATCATCAGGCTCCACTTCAAGGGGGGCCCTACTGCCGTTGTCCACGCCTGTCGAGCCACCATGTCGACGTGCGCTAACTGAACTGTTTTGGCTAGAGATGCCATTACGATGACTTGGTTCTCCCCGAGATGTTGCACCCGCCATCCTAGGTCCAAATGCCTGCTCAAGCACATCAATTTGCAGCCTCACATGAAAATTCTCTTTTCCTTTATGCCTAGCAAACATGGTAGCCAGCTCTTCATCATTACTAACTGTCGCCCATTTCTTTTCCCCGTCATAGTATTTGTATACCACTTCATCAAGCAAACCCCAAGGGTATTGGCTACAAATTACCTTCCCAAATTGTCTGAAACTCCAATTGCTAGCCATTGGCAACCGATAATCGAAACCTCCTTGGAATTTCTTCTTATTCTTTGCATTGAACATGTACCGGTCCCTTCTAATGTGCACCAAGAAAGCAAACCGCAACTCCATCCTAACCGACGAAAAACAGAGACGCAATTAGCACACTAATCGGGCAAACCTACTCGAATCGACTATTTAAATGCACAACTAAGCTCAATCTAAATACGAGGCATGACTTACCCCTCGGGAACCCAGTCGTGGACGCGGCGGATCTCCGGCCCGATGCCTACCTCGCCAAATACTCTGGGGTCGCCGCTGCTCGCCATTTTGCCCTGGGGTTCTTCCTCCTAGTTCAAACAGCTCCACCAGCCCCCCACCTTTGAGCGCTCCAGCCGGGCGCACGGAAGAAGGCCGCGCCGCGGGTCGAGCAGGTGGTGGGCGCCCCACCCGTGGCATCGCAGGAAGGTGGCGGGCGGAGCAGGTAGCGGTGGAATGTCGATGCGGGACGGCGGAGCAGGCCGTGCAGCTGGTGGCGGGGCAGGTGCTAGCTGCGGCGCAGGCGGCAGTGGCGGGGCAGGTGCTAGCTGCGGCGCAGGCGGCAGTGGCGGCGCAGGACAGCCGGCCGGCGGATGGGCAGAGTGGGCGTTGATTTGGTCGGCTAGAACCCTATGAATGATTTGGGGATTTTGTTGCATGGGCCCACATGTCAGCTCCGGACCCACGTCCACACGGTCCCATGTGTAAGCTTTGTACCCACAACCACTAACGCCGGCGGACGGAATGGATTAAAATCTGGCCATTTGGCCTTGTCATAGTAGTTGTGCATGGACTAGGGCAAAACTGAGCACAATTCGCATCTGAGGGCAAAACTGAGCACATGAACACCACTAAGATTAAAAGGATAATTAACCCAAATATATACTCCCTCTATAAAGAAATATAAGATGTTTTAGATCACTACTTTAGTGATCTAAAAGTCTTATATTTCTTTACGCAGGGAGTATTCTTAAGTCTAGAACTTGCCAAACTTTATTGGGTTAATATTTGAAGACCCACAACACTATGTCAAATATATATTGTAGCAAACGTTTGCAGTCCTTCGTATATCTCTCCCTTCCGGCTGCATTCCTTCTCCATTATTCTCCATCCCTTTCCACTCTCCTCTCTATCTCCTTGCCCTCTTTCCAAAAGACTAGATGCAGAACAGAAGGAAAAGGAAATAAAGAAGTAATAATACAGAGAAGAAAAAACAAGTTTGACTAAGAAAAAACCTAGACTTCAATTATTTTTTAGCTGAGGGAGTAAGTAGGAAAGATATGAAGAACAATTGGTGATATGTTGACTAAGGAGGGATTGAGAGAAGCTGTCACACATAACATTTTTCATAACTTTTGCTTTCATGATTAGGAGTAGAGAATCCATAATTCTATATGTGAAATGGGACAAGAACGGCGATGGTTCGATGGTGTCCACAAAAGCAATAATTTAACTTTAGGCAAAGGAAGAAGATGTTCAGAGGTAGAAGAAGCAGTGAGTAAGAAAAAACCTAGACTTCAATTATTTTTTAGCTGAGGGAGTAAGTAGGAAAGATATGAAGAACAATTGGTGATATGTTGACTAAGGAGGGATTGAGAGAAGTTGTCACACATAACATTTTTCATAACTTTTGCTTTCATGATTAGGAGTAGAGAATCCATAATTCTATATGTGAAATGGGACAAGAACGGCGATGGTTCGATGGTGTCCACAAAAGCAATAATTTAACTTTAGGCAAAGGAAGAAGATGTTCAGAGGTAGAAGAAACAGTGAGGAGGCAGATAAATTTCTTCAGTTCATTCGTTCGATGCCTCGCTCGGTTGACATTGCTCTCCCTTAGCTTTTTTGGGGGGCACTCTCTCCCTTAGCTAGCAGAGCAGGCATGCGGCAGGCGCGTGAATGGTCCACCGAAATCCGGTCCCTGGACTTGCAGGGGTGCGGCCTCCTTTTGTCGTTTTATTTTTTATGTCTTGGCGGAAAAGTTTATTGTTTCTTGTCGGGTAAATATACGAAAGCAAGTCAGTTGGAGATCGTGGTCGCGACACAATACCGTCTTTGGTATTAGTATATACTGCCTACCGGTCGCGACCAAAGACACATCAAAAACACCTAGGGTTTTTGGATTTTGTTTGATACCCTCTTTTCAACTTTGTAAGTGTTGAGGCTTTTGCAAAATTTCGCTCGGACAAAGAAAAAAAACAAAATCATTTTAACGGTTTTGTGCACTTTTTGCATAGTGATTTTGTTTTTTTAATAGACTTGATCAAACTTAATCGAATATCTATTTCTGAGTCCAGGCTCATCCGCACCTGGTCAAGAAAAAAATCACCAAAAATTCAAAAAAAAAATAGATAATTTGATGCGTGAGGTGCGCTTCAAATTTCAGAACATTTGGACATATGAGTAGATCTCAGCAAAAAAGACATTTGGATTGAGAGAAACCATAATTCTATGTATAAAATGGGACATGAACGACGATGGTTCAATCGTGTCCATAAAGCAAGAATTTAACTTTAGGCAAAGGAAGATGTTCAGAGGTAGAAGAAGCAGTCAGGAGACAGCCGAATTTCTTCAATTCATTCGTTCGATGCCTCGCTCGGCTCAAGCTGCTCTCCTTAGCTTTTTTTTCGAGGGGCACTCTCTCCCTTAACTAGCGGAGCCACGCTACCGGCCCAGTCCCACAGGCCATCGGCCCATATCCACCTTGTCCAGTATTCTCCCGTGGATCCGAAGGGCATGTGTAGGATCCAAAAAAAAAAAGGGCAGGTGTAGTACGATTTCTTTAGGACTGTGGTATTCCCTTTTTCCTCCAAAAATTCTTTTGTTCCCAAGAGGTCCTAACTGTGAATCTTGACAAAATTGAACACATCAAAAAAAAAGTTTCTAAAAAATATCAATCGACTCCTAAATGAAGAATGCTTCCAAAATTGCACATGCACACGAATATGGATCACTTTCAATGAAATTTCAGTCATTTTAATAGATACCTAGACAGTTGGTCTTTCAACCAAAATATTTCAGCCATTACGGTAGTACACACAAGTTCAGAAATTTAAAAACAATATCCCAAATAACTGAAACATTTGGTTGGATTTTTTATTGAATGCAAAGGTGAATATTTTGATCCTTTGGCCGAAATGAAAACCGAAACCACTCAAATTCACAGGCACATCAAAGAAAGGAGAGCAGGCACAGCGACCACAAGATCGAAGGGAACCGCAACCATGCTTGATCACAACCGAAGGAAACAAAAATCACAGACCCCGACGCCAAGCACCAAACGAGAGCCAGATTTTAGTATTGGACAACCCTGGGAAGAAAGAAGCTGTAGTGGCATTCGCTGCAGGGCGGGTCGGGCTTGGCAACCCATCCAGCAAGCAGAAGAGATAGCACTGGCAGCAACAGCAACATAATAAAAAGATCTGTGAAGTGCCCATCACAATATCGGCTACTCGTCTGTTGTGTTTGTTGTATGCTAGCATCCGCGTACTCTTTTTCCTTTTAACCAGTATCCACGTACTCTGTAGTATTACCTCCGTCCCAAATTAGTTTTCTTAGATTTGTCAAGATACGGATGAATCTAACGCTAAAACATGTCTAGATACATCAACTAATTCGGTACGGAGGGAGTACTTCCCTAGATTTGCCACGTTATATGCTGATTCTCAGATATATTTTTTCCCTGCTGCTATTCCAAGATTTATGCCTGGACAACTTCCGCCTTCAAATATGTAAAGTTTGTTACCCTAAGTCGAAGATGCACAAACTCTAAAAGCATCTCTGCTCCCCACTTCACCTCCATTGTGCGTGGGATCTAAACATCAGAGTCGCCACCCTGTCAATCCCAAGCCAGACACAAAAATCAATAATCAAGGTCTTTCAAATATGTAACTTAGTATCTACAGAAAGATACTCACTATCAAGAAAACATATGGATGGTGACAAGTATTACATGTACATATCAAAGTAAAATAAGAAATAACATTCCTGACAGTAAATGGGTATGAGCAAACATGAAAGAAATAAGTAGGTCACTGAAACAAGAATAACTCTTGAGTGTCAGCAGATGGAGCAAAAAAAAGAGATGTCCCGACACGATCATAAGTTCACATCTACATTAAGAACATGTCAAAAGCTTGATACAATGGATTTGGAGGAACAGACAGCATACCTAAAATTCTACTGCCACATTAGAGCAATGAACATATTCTACCCTGCTCTTCGCGTAGGAGTTCTTAGCATTGGATTATCCTGCAATATAGTCACACCAGTCATTTTATTATACACTAGTAGCTTTAAATGCTAAAACGGGGAGGACAGTAGTTTTTTAGGTGTTCAATGTGTGTACTAATAACATTTGATAAGCTACAGAGATTAATAATTGTACACATTTGTTGGAAATCATAATATATCAGGCTGGAAAACAATGAGCAAGAGAATCCCTGAACGAGTGGGACCAAATTAAATATCCTATCTCATGTGCGTTTGTCTTGCTACCAATAATCCAAATATATTTGAAAGGTCCATTGATTGATGAAATTCCATATCAGAACAGGGGCATAAGCATGGACCATGAAGAAGAAAATGTGAACAGGGGGCATAAGCATGGAGTAGCATGCAGCTTAAAACATTGGATAATAATTTTGGAAGCCGCAAGAAAAAAGGGATAGACATTTGTGTGCGGGCAGACCTGCATCGTTGGGTTGTAAGCCCACTGATTTCCGAAAACATGGGGATCTGCTTGTACCTGAAACGTTTTAAGCAGAAAGGCATTGATCACACAAGTCAGAAATGCACACACAGGGAGAAGATGGTTAACATAAAAATCAACACAGTTGTTGATAGTAACTAAGAAGTTGCAAACAAAGAAGAATATGGAATATTATAAAGATCTGTCCATAGCAAAAACCTGCATAAAGTTATTCGGCATCATCCTTGGTTGATTAGGCAGTTGATGTTGGTGACTAACATCCATTCCAAAATGAGGTCCAAATGTCAGGTTTGGAGATATCCCTTCCTGTTTAAGTTTGCAACAAAAATGTTCACACGCATGAAAATGATGGTAGCAGAAGCAGACCAAAATTACTACATACCATTAGATGAATGCTTCCTGGCACTCCCATGTCAGGACTTTCAAGATGGGAACCTGACGATGTCTCTTGAATCATATTAGTTTCAGTTGGCACAAATGATGACCGTAGAAAATCCTGCTAAGGACAACATAAATAAATCAATAAAGGTTTAGTCATACAGCAAACTGACGTATGAATGCTTGAGGCTCTTTATGCCCCCAAAACTGAGAAGAGACGAACCTGTTCTTTATTTGACCGTAATACAGCATCCGGATCAGTTTCTGCCACTTTCTTTGCTGGCCGGCCAGGATGCTTTGCATTTGTGGACAGGGAATTCTTCTCACCCTCTGGAAATTGAGAACTAAAAAGGCCTTGGCCATTTTCAGGTGCATCAGCTTCGAATGAGAGAAGCCTCGGCTGCCTGTCTCTAGCAGGTTGACCATCATCCAGAAGAGCCCTTTCTGCTTCTCTCAGTAACTTCAGAGCAACAAGGTACCTACTCTCAGATATAAAGCCTAAATTGAGAACCTGACGGCACTGTGTAGACAAATAATCATGGCGCTCCACTGTGTCACCAAGGAGCATCTCATTAGGATAATGTGCCAAAGCATGCAGTTTCTTATAGTCTCTTTTCCAGCGATCAAGGACATATCTTGACGGGATCTCAAACATGTCATGCAACTTAAACACAGACAACGCATGTCTGCATAGTATGCCAGTGAACTGAAAGAAACCACATTCGCACTCAACAATGAGCCCTTCTTTACAAAAATAAACTTCATAAGTCCTGCTCTCCGTCTCCTTTCCATCTTCCATGTATGAGCATTCTTTCACTTCAAAAGTAACAAATGGGCCATCAACTTTACTTGGCATACCATCACAATACATTGTTGCTTTCAACTCTTCCTGAAATTTCCTGAACATGTTGATTGTGTAGGCCTTGGCCAGTTGCTCTTCCATGTAGAACTTTGTTACAGTCAATGGAGTCCTATGGGAAGATTCTTCATCTGCTTGCAACTCTTTCTTGTATTTGTTCTCCAATATCATCTCATATTTGCTGAAAAATTGCTTCAAAGAAGTTTTTGGGTACACAAATCCATCATAGTATGAAGCAACAGACTCCCCACGCTGTGAAACAGACATACCCGCCCAGAATTTGTCTTTAAGATAAGCAGGTGCCCATAATTGCCGATGCTCATGTAGGGAACTGAGGCATTCATTTCCTGCAAGTCCATGTTCCTCAATAACCTTCTTCCAATCAGCCTCAAACTCTGGGGGCTTCAAAGACCCATATGTTACTTTCTTCAGTGCTCTCTTAATTGTTTTGAATTCCGCGTGTGCTTTCAAGTTCTCTGCCACGTCTCTCATAATGCGATACAGACAAAGGCGGTGTTTAACTTGGGAAAATACTTCTCTAACCGCATCCAGAATAGCGTTGTAATGCTCAGTGATGATTGCGTCTGGGTAACAGCCCTTCATACATGACAAAAATGCTCTGAATAGCCAGGTATAGCTCTCAGCACTGAGATCTGAAAGCAAGCCGGTACCAAACAAAACAGGGTGGCCATGATTATTCATCCCAGTGAAGAAAACAAGTGGCAGATCATATTTCTCAGTCAAGTATGAAGTGTCAAAGTAAACAACATCATGACCAAAGTATTCATGCGCTGCCTGTGACCTAGCATCACTCCAAAACAAGTTCCTTAGACGCCCCTGCTTGTCCAAATCCACCAGGTAGAAGAAATTTGGATTCTTATTCTGCATGCTGCCAAAAAACTTCTGGATCTGCTCATCATCTCCTTCCCCGAACTTAAGCCTTCCTATCTCGGTAAAGTTCCCCTGCTCTTTGTCAGCTATCGGAACATTCCTTCGCCCTTTAAGCCGTGAACCATTTTCCACGCTCTTGGCATCCGTCAGTTTCTTGTAACAGCTCATGGGCGAGTCTGAGGACTGGTTGAGCGGATGGTTGTGGTCGAGCTTGGCGTCGTCAATGTGAAGCCACCTGTCCTGCCTCAACTTCAACGAAATCCTAGCTGGGCAGTTTATCTTTGCTGTTTCTCTAGACAGATAGCACACATTTGCTCTCCCTCTCCCTGACCGACTGCACCCGAGCACCAGCCTCCGGCACACCCCCGACTTCAGGTACGACGACTTGAGAGTGATCGCCGAGAAGCCGGAATCCACCGCATACTGCTTGTAGTAGTTGAGCGCGTCGTCATAGGTCTTGAACCGCAACCCGATGCGGGGCGCGTTCTCGTCCACCTTGGCACCCCCACCATCTTCCTGACCACTGTCATTGTCATCGACGAGGATGACCTCCTTGCCCTGATGCAACGGCGGCAGTTCCCTCCCTGGATTACCCCCCAATTCCTGGCCAAAAATAGGAAAGCGCCAAATAATCGCTCCCTCAGCAAGCAAGCATGAGAATTTGACACCTGGAGTGACCCAAAGCACTCGCTAACCTGGGATTTCTCGGCAATCTTCAGCAGCGAGCCATTCCCTGGTGGCTCTGAGCTCTTCCCTTCGGCCTCGATTGGCGTCTCCATCGGCATCGGCGGCGGATCTAGACGGCGTGCGCCCGAAAATCGGGAAGGTCGGTGGGGATTTGACTAGGAGAATCGCTGGATGAGGACAAACCTAGGTCGTACCTCGAGCCCCTGACTGCGGGCGGCGTGGCGCCGGCGGCAGGGGAACGTGGAGTCCCGACGAGGGAGGACGGGAGCGGCAACGCGCGTGGGAGACGGGAAGCCGGGGGCGCTCCCAGGGGTGTGGAGGCGCCGGCGGCGGCGCTCAGGTACGGCACGACGGCAGCAGTAGGGCGCGTGGTAGACCAAGAGGGGAGGAAGAAAAAAAAAAACAGATATTTGCCCACTTTGAATATGTTTTCTTTTTGAGTTAAATACACCGGAGGCACTTTAATCCTACTTTTTTCAAGGGCGTGTTTGGTTGCCGTGCACTACAGTACCTGCGTTGCATACCCTTCTCCACTCAGTCTGGTTCTCGAAAACAACCTTATATGCGACATCTGCGAGTTGTTTGGTTGCCTGCATATGGACTTCCTGCATTAGGAGATCAACTTTGGCACGTTGTTTGGTTGCTTGCATTGTCTCGGCGCATGCAACTACACGCTGTTTGGTTGCCCGCATGTGGTATGATTAAGAGTTAGCACTTGCACTTAGCACACAGGGTTAAGACGCTAGCAGAGAAAGGGGGGAAGAAATGCAGTGTGCGCCGGACCATGACGACTGCGGTAGATAGTGGCCATGGCGCCGTGTCCGACATGACGAGCATGGAGTCATGGACGAGTGACCCCGTCGGCGGCACGGCGAGCGACATCGTCGGTGAACTAGTTGCGGTGCTCGCGCAAAGACAATGGACAGATGAGGATAATGCAGTGCTCGCGCCATGGTATCGTCAGTGCAGTGGACGAGAGAGGAGGCCGAGATGATCGACGCCGGAAACGACTCCAGTGTAGTAGGGCGAGAGAGAGGAGGCGAAGATGATCGACCTCGTCGGCGGCACAACGATCGACACCGTCGGCGAACTAGTTGCGGTGCTTGCTACTACCTCTTGAGCACTGCGTTGGATTTCCTTGAAGAGGAAAGGATGATGCAGCAAAGTGGCGTAAGTATTTTCCTCAGTTTTTGAGAACCAAGGTATCAATCCAGTAGGAGGCTACGCGCGAGTCCCTCGTACCTGCACAAAGCAAATAACTCCTCGCAACCAACGCCATAAGGGGCTGTTAATCCCTTCACGGTCACTTACGAGAGTGAGATCTGATAGATATGATAAGATAATTTTTTTGGTATTTTTGTGATAAAGATGCAAAGTAAAATAAAAGCAAAGGAAAAAATCGAAGGAAATAACTAAGTATTGGAAGATTAATATGATGAAGATAGACCCGGGGGCCATAGGTTTCACTAGTGGCTTCTCTCAAGAGCATAAGTATTTTACGGTGGATGAAACGAATTATTGTTGAGCAATTGACAGAATTGAGCATAGTTATGAGAATATCTAGGTATGATCATGTATATAGGCATCACGTCCGAGACAAAATAGACCGACTCCTACCTGCATCTACTACTATTACTCCACTCATCGACCGCTATCCAGCATGCATCTAGAATATTAAGTTCATGGAAACAGAGTAACGCCTTAAGCAAGATGACATGATGTAGAGGGATAAATTCATGCAATATGATAAAAAAATCATCTTGTTATCCTCGATGGCAACAATACAATACGTGCCTTGCTGCCCCTACTGTCACTGGGAAAGGACACCGCAAGATTGAACCCAAAGCTAAGCACTTCTCCCATTACAAGAAAGATCAATCTAGTAGGCTAAACCAAACTGATAATTCGAAGAGACTTGCAAAGATAACCAATCATATATAAAAGAATTCAGAGAAGATTCAAATATTGTTCATAGATAATCTTGATCATAAACCCACAATTCATCGATCTCAACAAACACACCGCAAAAAAAAGATTACATCGAATAGATCTCCACAAGAGAGGGGGAGAACATTGTATTGAGATCCAAAAAGAGAGAAGAAGCCATCTAGCTAATAACTGTAGCATCCCATATTTCCTATTTGGAATGTTTTACAATTATAGCTAAGCATCCTATGCATCCTGTTTGAATTGAATGCCATTTGAAGTTTCAGAGAATTTTGAGTTTTGAATTTGAATTTCAAACTTTGGCATGTGGGAAACATTTCAAAAACTAAGCCTGATAAATACTTGATCAAAAGTATGAGAGGAGCAAACATGACACTCCAAAAACATCAGAGGAAACAATGCCAAAGGATTTGGATTCAAATCTGAATTTTATTTGAATTTGAAAAAAATGGATTTTTATAAAGTTTGGATTTTGCCTTTGGAAAAATGTTCAAATGAAAGGGAATTTTCCCCTGATCATTTTGGTATATATATACCCTATATAAAATATTTATAGATAATGTTTTATTTTTTGTTTTTGTTTTATTTAAAAAAAAAGAAAAAGAAAAACCCCCCGGGGCGCCAGCCAGGCCACCCCAGGCCCAGCCAGCGCCGCACCCCTCCCCTTCCCGCCTGGCCCAAGCCAGCCGGCCCACTCGGCCAACAGGCCAGCCGAGCCAGGCCAGCCCAGCTCCACCCGCCCCGTCTTCCCCAACCCCTCGCCCACGCCACGACCTCGCCGGAGATCGACCGGATCCCGAAGGATCCGAGATCCCCCGATCGCCCCGATCCCCTTCCGAAGCTCGCCGGACCCC